ATTAGCTACCAACCCTAACTCTTTAAAAAAAGTATGGGGAGGAGGTGTCAAGAATGACACAGAGTTTCTCTATGTCGTCCAGGGTAACCACAAACTCATGGCAATCCTTCTCCTTTAGCATTCCAGAGCACTGGGGTTGCAGATGTGACTACCACACCACTAACTGGGACTGAAACTTTTTAAAAAGCATTTTGTCACCTTTTGTGGCTCTGGGGATCAAACTGAGTGTCTTACACATGCTAGGCAAATGTTCCACCCTGAACTACATCCCCAGCCCCACATTGTATTAGTTTTTTAGTAAGCAGGACGGGCCCCACATTAACATTCCCTTCTCTTTCTCCACAGACGTATCAGTAATATAAATATGAAAAAAAGAACAAATATTACAATGTGTCTTCATCTAGAGCAAGGATGGGTGGATTTTAAATAGTTAAGGGAAACAGAATTCTTCACCCTCCTTGTGTGGGGATCCTGTCTATATCTGTGAGCTGGTTCCCTCTTCCCGTCTCCCAGTATTTATTCCCATTAGAGACATTTATCCTGCTTCCTGGTGGCTCAGCAGCTACTCTGTACACAGCCACAGACCCTTGATACTTCCCTTTCCACATCACCAGATGTTCTCTCCCTAAGCCAAGGACCATTTCTGCAGAGAGGCAGGCTAGAACTCAGGCCTGTGATTTGGGCCAGAAGGTGACTGCAGAGCTTGTCTGTGAAGGTCCTGATGGGGGTGGGGGGACTGCGGCACGGGGGAGGGTTGGGAGTGGAGTGGAGAGCTGGGGGGGGTTGTTTTTGGTAGCTTTCAGGCCAAGGGTGGTGGTGTCTTTAACCTCAGAGGAAAGCCTCCCTCCCCCTCCTGTTCTAAGCCATGATGGGCCACCAGGTTGTAATTCAGACATGGTTATGCTAGCATGGGCCTGATAGCTTCCCAAGACTCCAGAGATTCAGTGTCTCCACTCCTCTTGGGAAAACAACCTTCCAAATAGTCTAAGAGCCGCTAACGGCTCTTGTGATAATCTCTGCTCAGTGCTGAATAAAGACACAAACCGGGAACTCTTGAAAAGAAGTCTGTAACATAGTCTTCCTCACCAGTTGCCTGGGCCCTGCCACGCTGTCTGAACCCCCAAATAACACACAGGACACTATATTAATTATAAAGCTGTTGGCCGTTTGGTTGGTTTGTTACTGGCTAGCTCTGACTTAAGTATTTAACCCATAATTATTAGTCCCAAATGGCTAATCTTGCCATGTTGAAAGCAAACTCCATAACAAGTTTCTTTAATGCCCATCTTCCTCTCAGACATAATTGGTGCTGCCAGGAGCAGACATTTCTCATTGTCAAGAAAAACCCTAAACCATTTTAAATGCCATTTTCTGAAGGTTTTTGAAAGGTTTAAGGACTATCTATCTATCTTAAATATATCTCTATATCTAGAAAACCTAACTAACCTAACTATAAATTCTGACTATTGTAAGTAACTATCTATAATCTGTATTTAATTATGCATTATGTTTTAAAAGATCAGTATGAACACAATACTTAAATAAGAAGAGAAATATACATATCACAAAATGGCCTTGAATTTGGGATCAATAAATGAAAAACCATACCAATATAAAGTATTCATTTCCATACCATAATTCCCCTTTTACCTTTAAAAAGAGATTGGTTGTGATCATTAACCAATTATAAGCAACCCCATTCAAATGAAAACAAAGATTTATAAACAATATTTGGGAATTTGGACGTTGCTCATTCCAAACTGCTTCCTGCTGATAGGGGGCACTGTCCATACCATGGGGATCATGGCAAAACTCAGAAACCTGGCGAAGTCCTTTTTTGTAGTCCTTAAGGCTGTATCATCTCAGCTGTTTCAGATGCTGGATCACCTGGGCCACTGCTTCTGAGGGTCTTGGTTCATCAAACCACAGAAGCCTGGAAGGTATCCACAGCTTTCCATTTTCTGTGGAAACATCAACAAAAACTCTTTTCCCAAGTAACTGGTCCTTATATTTAAAGTTAGAAGTCAAAGCATTTTTTAAATATATAAGTTGGATTAATTCAGCAGCATTTATAATCAAGTATATTTCAGTAGTTGTTCCTTCCTTAGCCACTGAACAACTGAAAAATACAATAGTATACAGTATCCAGACTTTTTTTGTATTTTCTATCTTTACGTGGCTTATATTACTCTATTTCTTTTACTTTTATTTATTTTTTTCTCTGAGACAGTGTTCCCATGTGGACATCTACCTGTCTCTGCCTCTGGAGTGCTGGGATTAAAGGTGTGTGCCACTACGCCCAGCTACTCTCCTCCTGTCTCTGCCTCTGGAGTGCTGGGATTAAAGGCGTGTGCCACCACACCCAGCTATTTTATTTTTATTTTTTTCCAATATCTTGTTTCTTTTACTCTCCCAAGTCTATCTATATTTTTATGACTTGTACTCCATATTGTGCAAAAGCTAAACATATTTTGTTGGGTTTTATCTGTTTAGAAATTGAATCAACATAGAAAGTTTGAGCCAGGAGCAACGGCTCACATCTGTAGTTCCAGCTGCTAGCAAGACTGGCAAAATCACTTGAGGCCCAACCTTTGAGAACAGCCTGAATAATATAACAAGATTCCATTTAAAGAAAATAAGGGTTGGGTGGGAGGTGGGGGTACGTAGCTCAGTTGGTGGGGTGATTGTCTACTGAGCATAAGGCCCTGGGGTTGATCCCCAGGGCTATATAAAACATGCCTACAGTCTCAACATTCAGGGGTTCAAAGTGCAAGGGGTCAGAGGTTCAAGGTCATCTTTAGTTGTGGAGCAAGTTTGAGGCCAGCCTGGTTTACATGAGATTCTCTCCCAATGTAAATAAATTATTTTTTAAAAACTGTAGGGGTTGGGGAGATGGCTCAGGGGGTAGAAGCAATTGCTACCCAAGTCTAGTAAGCGCATTAGGGTCTCCAGAGCCTATGTAAAAACTCCATGCAGGGATGCATGTCTGTACCCCGGCATTCCTGCAGCAATGTGGGAAGCAGAGCCTGGAGAACCGCCTGGCAGTGTGGAGGCCATGAAGCAGCAGAAATGAGAGGGGTTGCTGGCCCGGTAGGGAAAGCACGTGCCCTGCAGTCCAAGTGAAGGTGGAAAGAGAACTAAGTTTTCAGAGCCGTCCTCTGACCTCCATGGGCACAGTAGTAATACTGCGAGCGAATGAGGCAAGGGAGAGCCTGCCCCCAAACAAGGTAGAAGTCAAGAACTGACTACCCAGAAGTCCTCTGGTGGCTATGTGGGCTCTGCGGCACGTGTGCATCCTCTCTTTCTGTCTCTGTCTCTGTCTCTCTCTCTCTCTCTCACACACACACACACACACAAACAAATTTTAAAAATGTATTTCTTGAAGATGGATATTTGGGAGTACTGTAGGAGTTGGTTCTCTCCTATCTTGTAAGCTCCAGGGATCCAACTCAGGCTTGGCATCGAGGTCCTTATCCTGCTGACGTCACTGGCCCACCTCTCCACCTTCTTAAGACTGTCTGTGAAGGCTTCTCCCTCTCACTCATCTTTCTCCCTCTCCAGGCTGTGTACAAGATGGCTGATGTCGCCTGCAAATGTCACGGAGTCTCAGGGTCCTGCAGCCTCAAGACCTGCTGGCTCCAGCTGGCTGAGTTCCGCAAGGTGGGAGACCGGTTGAAGGAGAAGTATGACAGCGCTGCGGCCATGCGCATCACCCGCCAGGGCAAGCTGGAGTTGGCTAACAGCCGCTTCAACCAGCCCACACCAGAGGACCTGGTCTACGTGGACCCCAGCCCTGACTACTGCCTGCGCAACGAGACCACAGGCTCACTGGGCACCCAGGGCCGCCTCTGCAACAAGACCTCAGAGGGCATGGATGGCTGTGAGCTCATGTGCTGTGGCCGGGGCTATGACCGCTTCAAGAGCGTCCAGGTGGAGCGCTGTCACTGCAGGTTCCACTGGTGTTGCTTCGTCAGGTGCAAAAAATGCACTGAGATTGTGGACCAGTATGTCTGTAAATGATGGCACCCCTGCCTCTGGCCCACTCCTCTCTGCCTCACAAAAGTCTATATTATATAAATCTATCTAAATATATTTTATATTTGTACAAACGAATGGACGGATGATAAATAAGCAAGAGAAGAACATGGGGAGGAAGAATTTAAGAGATGCTGGCCCTCTGTGAGGACTGGGCTTTGCTGGTAATCTACAGCCAGTGGGAGAGAAATGGGCTTTTCCATGCTTTCTGGCCAGGGCTCTCAGGACACAGGGGCTTGAGAGTGTCATGCGCCACAGCCTCCAGGAGAGAGGCAGTGATTAGATGAAGGAGATGGGCCCGTTTCATATCTGCAGTTTATGACCCTGGCCAGGAGACCCAGAGGCCCTGTGGAAGGTGGAGACCTGACATTCCCAATGGTGGTCCAGGCCTTCCCCTGAATGGAGGTAGCTTTAGTAAAGGCCCCAGGACTTGCTTCTTTTCTCGTCTGAGTGCGCAACTGAGTTCTGGGGAGAGGTCTCAAGTCAGCCTGACTGGTGACTGTAAGGGACCTGTGCCTCTCTGGATTCTGGATCTGTGTTCTGATGAGGGTGCCACCAGCTCCTGCTGCAAGCTCCTGGGCCAAGAGAAAGATGGCCACTTAACCTGCTACATCAAGGAAGACATGAAGCAAACCTGGGCTCTGGTTGGGGACAAAGGGCTTGTGCACTGCCGTCTTGCACAGGGCAGGAAACTGTTGCTGCTGCTGCCACCTCCTCTATCTGGGAGGCCTCACGAACAACGGGGCATGCTGGCAGGTCACCTCTGCCCAGATGTACAATGTCCCTCTGACATTAAATATCTTTTACCGAGGTTTCTCTCCCTCTCCTTATTTGGGCACACAGTGATCTCATGATTCTCATTTGATATTTTACTTTACTTTTTGGTGCTAAGGATGAAACCCAGGGCATCCTGATGTCATGGAGTTTGTGATCTTTGGGAAAAAAAAACCATAGACTCAATCCAATTATAATTAAAGATGTATTTATTAGCTTCTAGCAGGATGAACAATCTCTGAGCCAAGTTTGAGATTGCCATGAGAAGGGAAACAAGGGAAGGATTTGTAAAGGGTAAAATCACAAGAAGACTTTCAATATGTATTTAAGCAAGCAAAAACTGGTCTGTTCTGCCAAGTTAAGTGACCCCAAACAATCTTTGGGTGTCTACATAAGCAAGTTATAGAAGCCGAAAAAGGCATTTAGCCGCATCGTAACAAGTAGAGAGTCTCGACTGTACATTTTTGGGTGGGAATCACTGAGTCAAGGTTACTGGGAACTTACCTTCCAGAAACTGAAGTCAGAGAGAATGGCTGTTGGTTGCCAAGATGGATAACCCCCATCTTGAGTAATCCTTTTTTTAGCTCTCTGATTTTAACAGGTATTTGTAATACTGAAGGAGCCTGCAGGCCAGCATGTTCTGGTGTGCTAATAGGCACCATAGGCAGCTATTTGACATTTTTGACAGTGATAGGAAAAGGGCTTCTTTGGTAGAAGGGAAGAAGTTTCTTTGGATCTAACTTCCTAGCCTTTTGTTAATGGTAAGGAGCAACACAGTCTCTTCTGTAACTGCTTCTCAGCTGAAGTATGTCATTGTTGTCAGGGCCCACGAAGGCTGGAATGCCAGTCAAAGACCAGGAAGGGAGAAGTCACATCTGGCTTGCTATCCAGGTTCTGTGGACCACCTGGAACTAGTGATGGACGGGTAGCTTTGGAGCAGTCAGGAATGCTAGTCTGAAGCTGGGGCTCAAGCTGGTAGGAAATTTTGTCAGAAGCATCTGGTTTACATTAGCTTTCAGCTGGTCCAGGGCTTGCTAGTTTCAAAGGGCCACCTGAGGCTGGTGTGTCTGGAATAGTTTGTAGTCTTTAGTTGATTGGAAATCTGCTGGGACAAATATAGACTAGAAACAGAAGGCAAAGTTAAGGAGCTTAGGGGAAAATCTTAACTCCATTGATTAATGTAAAAACTCTGAACTTTTCAAGTCCTAATATAATAATAGCATGGCAAGAGGAAAATAAATCTGAAACATTTTTAATTGTTTTATGTCTATACCTAGAGTCATTCCCCTAGACCTTTCTAACTTACATTTGCAAACCTGAAATCATTTTCTCAGACCCTCACAGCTTATTTGAGCTTTCATGTGCTCAGACCTTTATATGCCTTAAATTACTTCCTTGGACCATCATAACTTATTTAAGCTTTTCTATCCTTAGACCTTTGCAGCTTGCATCCTAAATCTTTTCCTACACCTTTATACATTCCATTTTTCCTAATTATTTTCTTTTTTCTTTTTGTTTTTACGAGGCAGGGTTTCTCTGTATTGTTTTGGAGGCTGTCAGACCAGCCCGGCCTCGAACTCACAGAGATCCGCCTGCCTCTGCCTCCCGAGGGCTGGGATTAAAGGCGTGCGCCACCACCGCCCGGCTTTGCTAATTATTTTCAACGATACATGGGTGGTTGATTACTGAGAGCAACCATTGCTACAGTGAGTCATTAATATCATCAGCGATCTAAGAAAAATAAATTTGAGCAGGAAGTATAATCCATATGACTTCTGTATCAATTAAAATGACAGAGACTTCCTAGGTGGCTCCCTAGGCTGCTTCATGTCACACGGGACAGCGTTAAGTCTTTCATTTCCACACAGGGCAGCTTTAGTTTTCAGCTGCCAGACCCAGAAAATCTGAGCTTTTGGAGATGAAGAGCTTGAGAGCCTGTCTTGGGAGGCCAAGAGGCACAGTCAGCTCTCCAGTGTCCTGCTTGCCCACAGTTTGGATAGGGTCCAGCGGCACGCGTCTGTTCTGTGCCCGTGTTTAGCATTACTGTAATTAAGGTGGAGTCATTTGTGCCGTTGTCTTCTTTGGAGGAGACTTTAGGGTTGCTTCTAGGAGCTGGTGGCTCACAGTTTTGTCTATCATGGGAAGCTTTTTTTTTTTTAAAGATTTATTTATTTATTATGTATACAGTGTTCTGCCTGCATATCAGAAGAGGACACCAGATCTCATTATAGATGGTTGTGAGCCACCATGTGGTTGCTGGGAATTGAACTCAGGACCTCTGGAAGAGCAGTCAGTGCTCTTAACCTCTGAGCCATCTCTCCAGCCCCGGAAGCTTTTTTTTTTAAGACAGGGTTTTTCTGTGTAGCCCCGGCTGTCCTGAAACTTGATTTGTAGAACAAACTGGCCTCAAACTTAGAGATCCACCTGCCTCTGCCTCTGCCTCTCAAGTGCTGGGATTAAAGGTGTGCCTCCACACCCAACCACATTTTTTTAACTTTCTTTTTATTTATTCAATGTGACTTTCACATCATGCGTCTTGATCCCATTCATATCCTGGTCCCTTCAACTCTGCTCTTGAAATCCACCCCCCCTCAATAAGACAAAATTTAAGATAAAAAAAAAAGGCTGGGCGGTGGTGGCGCACGCCTTTAATCCCAGCCCTCGGGAGGCAGAGGCAGGCGGATCTCTGTGAGTTAGAGGCCGGGCTGGACCGACAGCCCCCAAAACAATACAGAGAAACCCTGTCTCATAAAACCAAAAAAAAAAAAAAAAAAAAAGATTAAAAAAAGGAAAAAAAACCTCATCATGGAAGCTGCAGTGTGGCCCAGTGAGTCACACAATAAATCCTTTTGTCCATACATCTTTACTTGCTAGTGTTCACTGCAAGGAGTCATTGGTCTGGTTTGAGGCCTCTGTTCCTGACACCATCGATGCTGGTCCCTCACTGGGATCTTGGTGTCCTGTTGTTGCCCTGTGTCATGGAGACCCTGTAGCTTTGGGTCTGTGCGCACGGCCCCTTCAAGTGCTCCAGTAAATCACAGATGGGGTGGGTGTTGGCTGGTTCTGGACTTGGGCAGCTGTTGGGTTGATCAGTTCTTCCTGTCCTCACCACCAGGGTGAGCTCTCCAGCATTGCCCCACTCTCCAGCAATGAGAGAGAAGTGGGTCCAGCTCTCCTGATTTCATGCCCTCAGGGTTGACTCCCCCACACCTACACCATCAGGACCAGCTCTACTCTGCTGCCCAGGTGAGGTGAGGTGCAGGGGCCCCTCTCCTGAGTGCTGCAGCTGGTGAGGGGCAGGGGCAGCCCCCTTGCTCTTACAACCCCAGGGCCAGATCCTCCACCTGTCTCAGGCATTAACGGGGGGGGGGGAGGGAGGGGGGCATCTCTCCTCCACTCATACCACCACGTGTCAGGTGAGTAATGAGGATAGCTCTCCCTTGCTCACAACCTTGGGGCTGGGTCACCCACACCTCCACCAACAAGGCCAGCTCTGCTGTGCTGCCTAGGGCACGAGCAAGGCCTGCTTTCTTGAGTGCTGTAGTTTGCTTATCTGTTGCAGTCAGTGCAGGACAGAGAGGGGGTTAGAGGGGGAAACCCCCCCCCACTGCTTCATGACAGACAAGTAGTGGGAACAGCTCTCCTACGCTTACAAGTTCGGGGCTGACTCACCTCCATCTCCACCAACAGTGCTGGCTCTATTGTGTTGCCCGGGTGAGGTGCAGGGCCTGCTCTCCCAAGTGTTGCAATAGCAAATTAAGATTACCGCTGTATAGGTTTTCAACTATTAACCGTTTTGTTACAAGTTTTAAACTAATTGGGGGGGGCTTGGAATTTCACAGGTACCTGCCCCCCACTCCCTGAAATGGTTTTACAGATCCCAAGAGTTTTAAATACCCATGACTTTGATTGGGGGAACATTTTTTGTAGACAAGAACCAAAGAAAGGGGAACAAGTCAAAGAGCTAGACATTTTTAATTACATTTAGCATCCTAATTTTATATGAATCCTTTTTTGATGACAAGATTTAAATAACATGAGACATAACAGTAACAAATTTAACATTTGTTGTAAGAAATTTTTCTTAAGGGAGTGTTAAACAATATCTGGTGCCTTTACCGAGTATATATAACAGCTCTCTTGTTGCATAGGCGGACTCTCTCCTTATTCTTAGCTTTTAGCCTATATACCATAGTTTCTCCAGAAAACTTTGAGGCCTCGTACAGTGATGTCCTAATTGCACAGAACCAGCTTGGGAGGCGTGGCTGGATGCTCAATTGAAGGGTCAATGACTTTGCCTATCTCCTTTTTTTGAAGGAATGTTAGCTTTAAGTGAGTCCTAGTCTGATAATTTTAAGCGGGCATATCTGGAGTTATTACTAAGAGATTCTAGACAGAGGGTTTTATTTTACTTCATAACCAGTTTGTGTGTGTCTGCAGATGGAGACGGACAACGTGAAAATCTTAGTATATTTTCTTATAAAGTCATTCAGTTGCAGAATAATATAAGTATCTGTAGCCTGGAGGTCATTAAACAGAAAACTACAAAGCAATATATTCACAGGAACTCAGAAAATGTTGGCATCAGTTTGTTCTTGTTTTTTTTACAAATTTGCTTTATAGATTTTTTTCTAACCATATCCAATAAGCTTACAAATCTAAAGTACAGAAAGTTTCTATTTTAGCTATTTTAAAACACATAGTATCTTTTGGGGGGCTGTTTTGTTTTTTCCTCTTTGTTCTAAAGTCTGATGACCTTCTGACCTAGAACAGAGATTTTGGAGGAAATATTTGAACAATCACGCTTGGATCAGAGGCAGAAGGCCATACCCCAACTCCAGAGCCAGGTTTTTAATAACATTATCCCTACCCAAAAAGACACCTTAGTGTAAAAAGAAGCTTTTTCCTTGAGAGGAGCCTTCCCGCCAGCCTGGTTCTAGAGCTGCATCAGTCCCAAATAAACACACAGGACGCTGTATTAATTATGAAGCTGTTGGCCTTGCTTGTTTCTTACTGGCTAGCTCTGACTTAAGTAATTACCCCATAAATGTTAATCTAAGTATGTCTCTTACCGGAGAATAGTTCCGGGCTCCTACCCCATGGCGTTACATCTCGAACTCTGTGTTTATCCTTCCCAGAATCCTCCTGGACTCCTAGCCCCACCTATCTAGATTCCTATTGGCCAGCAGTAATTTATTGACATATACACAGGACTTCCCCAATACCTTAGTCCTTGCGAAATTGAATCCAGTAATCAAAGGCAGAGACCAGAGAAAGCAGAATACAAAGAAGGCTTAGAGATAAGAAATTCTGGGTATGGACTTGCTGCGACACCGCACTAGGAATAGGCAGTGGACTTGGGGCTTATGGTGCCTGGGAGGTCTGTGCGTTGGGCGTGCCTGCATACATAGCCCGCTGCAGACACAGGGAAGAGAAGGCAGCCAGAGCACCGTAGTCAGAGACTGGAGCCAGCTGGAGACAGAATAAGCAGGAAAAAAGAGACATCTTCCAGAAGGAGAGCAAGGAAGAAAGACTGCAAACTAGAGGGCATAGAGAAGCGCCTGCTGTACCTGCAGGACTTAACCGTTAGGCTTCAGCAAGCTAATAAGGGGAACAGAGACAGACAAGCTAGTTGGAGCAAACTCCAAGCCGGAGCTGGCATAGAGGAGCCAGGAGCAGTCTGCCTCTTAGAAATCCTGAAACTGTTGTAGCGTTCAGGTCAGAGGTGATTTGTTTATGTTCAGTTCAATTCCCATCTCTGCAACAAAGCTTAAACTCACAAATCCAACAGACAACCGAGAACCATGGAAAAGGACAGGACAACACAGCCAGAGCAGACCAGGTGAACTCAGACATGTGGTGGCTACCTTCACTCATACCCCAGAACCTGGGTTTACAATCTCATCAGATCTCTCCTTTAGTCTTCTGAAAGGTCCAGACTCCAAACAGAACAGAGCAACTCAACAATCCGCCTTAGCTTTAGAAGCATGTTGGCTGCCAGTTCTTATTTTCAGTTTGCAAATTTGGAGTCATTGCAGTTTGGGCTCCCCAGGGTCTGTCAAGTCCATTTTGGACTTGCTCCCTCAGGGGCCTATCCTGGCCCTAAGTCTCCCAGGGATCTTGCTGAGGCCTCTATATGTTATGGAATTTGTGATCCTTGGAAAAGATCATAGACTCAATTCAATTATAATTAAGGTTTTTTTAAAACTATTTGTTTATTTATGTAAATGATAGCTCTGTCTTCCTGTAGGTCTACACAACAAAAGAGGGCATCAGATCCCATTACAGATGTTTCTCAGCCACCATGTAGGTGCTGGGAATTGAACTCAGGTCCTCTGGAAGAGCAGCTAGTGCTCTTAACCACTGAGCCACCTCTCCAGCCCTATAGTTAAAGATGTACTGATTAGCTGCTAACAGGACAAATAATCTCTGAGGAAAACTTGAGACTGCTGTGAGAATGAGAGGGGAAACAAGGGAAAGCCTTTTATTTTTTTATTTTATTTTTTGTTTTTTTGAGGCAGGGTTTCTCTGTGGCTTTGGAGGGGACTGTCCTGGAACTAGCTCTTGCAGACCATGTTGGTCTTGAACTCAGAGATCCGCCTGCCTTTCCCTCCCGAGTCCTGGGATTAAAGGTGTGTGCCACCACCATTCAGCTAGGGGATGGACTTTTAAAGGGGAAAAACCACAAGAAGACTTCCAGCATCTATGCAAGCAAGCAAAAACTGGTCTGTTCTGCCAAGTTAAGTGACCCCAAACAATCTGGGTATCTACATAAGCAAGTTACAGAAGCCAAAAAAGCACTAAGTCATATCCTAACAACTAGAGAGTCATGGCTGTATATTTTTGAGTGGGGTCACTGATTCAGGGTTATTGGGAGCTTATCTTCCAGTAACGGGAGTCAGAGACAAATAGCCAGTGGGTACCAAGATGGATGCCTAGCATAAAATGGAGTTCCTTTAGCCATCACACTGAATGCTAGGCAGGATTTTGCCACAGGTGTGTGTGTGTGTGTGTGTGTGTGTGTGTGTGTGTGTGTGTGTGTGCCTGTCTGTCTTGTCTGTCTGTCTGTCTTGTCTGTCTGTCTGTGTCTGTGTCTCTGTGTATGGAAGCCAATGAATCACTGTGGGAATCGACTCCCTCCTCCCACCATGTGTCCTAATATGAAACTAAGGTCATCGGGCCTGGCAGCAAGAGGCTTTACCTGTTGAACCATCTCACTGGCCCTTCTTTTTTCAATACTAGCCATGGAACCCAGTGCCTGACATGTGCCAGACAGGAGCTCCATCGCTGAGCCACACCCCCAGCCACCTCCAGCCCCAGGAGCCTTTCAGCTTAATGCGGATGTGCACACTGGTCCTTGGTCTCGCACAAACAGCCGGATGCTCCTCTGTATTGCTTCCTGCAGTAGTGAATCACAGTATTTGGAACAGGACATCAAGTAAGGCCAGCCTGGGCTATAGACCGTCTCAAAGAAAATTAAATGGAAATTTGAGAATGGGAAAATCTTACAAATGTATTAATTTTCCTGTGGACTCTACTTGGAAGACCATTTTTCTTTGGCAGCATATGAATTATTTTCCTGTTGTGAACACTTTAAGCGAGGATTTGTTCTGGCCCGTGGTCTGGAACGAGGCTGTGGCAGCTACTGTACCAGGCTGCTTGCTCTTGTCGCTGTGGATCAGAAAACAGAGAGGACAGAAGCAGGCTAAACTATGAATGTCAAGTCCCACCCCACACAGATCTGCTCCATCAAGTCCCACCCCACAGAGATCTGCCCCTTCCCGGAAGGCTCCACCTCCCAGAGTTTCTATAACTTCCCTAAATACCACCAGCAGCTTGGGGACCAAGGCTCAAGCAAATGAGCCTGTGGGGACACTCTATCCAAACTATAATATAATATTTTTTTCTAGTTTTACAGAATCTGCTGAGAAGAAATATCCAGCATGGGTAAAGATTGCTAAGATTTCTCTGCAAACCACAACTCCAAGGGAGCTCTACTGAGCACCTGAAAACTTGCTGACACCCTTTGGCTAGGTGCTCCTGCTCTCTGTACTTTGAGACAGAAATATCTGTAGTTCAGGCTGGTCTTGAACTTGCCACTACCCAGCCTTATTAAGGCCTGTGGCACCACACTTAACTAAGCTAGCCTTCTTTTGTTCAACTTTTTTTTTTTTACTTTGGTACCAAAATCCAACCTAGGGCCTCATACATGCTAGTCCAAACTAAAGTAACTATATCCCCTATCCTTTTGTCCTTTAAGGATTACAAGACGTCCAAGTTTCCTCTCAGGCTGTGGGCAGGAGGACACGACTGTGAAGTAGGAAGTAACTATGCCCACTTACAGAAAGCAGCGTGTCCTTTCTCAGCTTGTTATTGAGCTCCCTAAGGAATGTTTGAGTGGACCTAACTGGGTAACAGAACCTGGGCCCTTGGAGCATTCTCTGTTCCAGCATGGCTCAAGACTGGGATCCCAATACTAGCATGCAGTACTTTATATGTCCACTGAGTGTCGCTGTGCCATCAGTTCTAGTTATGTCTCCATAGCTCACACCTTGGTTCAAAAGTTGAGCAGTTTCAAGTACCTAGACTAAGTGACAGTTGAATGACCAGCCCTAAGTGAGGCATTTATGCCTTCACCTCCTCAGGGGGTGAAAAGAATGTAAAAGTGGGAAGATAGGGAGGACTGCAAAATACCATCTTCTAGGCATGACACAGCCGTTGCAATCCTAAATTCCTGGCCTCTCCCTGCACCAGGCCTGCATAAGAATAATCCTGTCAACCGTCAACCTGGGATACTGGATAGGCTCATGGGGCCTCCCAGCTATTGCTAGACTCTGAGAGCTGGAGAGACAATATCTTCTGATGCGTTCCTCCTGAGGAGCCGACCGGTCTCCAATGAACAGTTCCAAACCCATGGTCACACAGATGGCCTTGGTTAAACTCGGTGGGTTCCATAAAACAAAAGATGTGAATGTGAAAATGGATTGTATTGGGGATGGGGAAGGTAGATGGGCGAAAGGGAGAAGAGAGGATATGGGTAAAAGCAATAAGAATGCATTTTATGTCGGGGGAGGGGGTGGTGCATGCCTTTAATCCCAACACTTTAGAGGCAGAGGCCAGTGAATCTCTGAGTGTTTTAAGCCAGCCTGATCTACGGAGTGAGTTCTAGAACAGCCAGGGCTACACAGAGAAACTCTGTTCCCAAAATGCATTTTAAACATGTATGGAATAATCAAACAAGTTTAACTTGTTTTTTTGTTTTGTTTTGTTTTCAGACAGGGTCTTGCTGTGTACAGTCCTGAATTGACTGTGACTTGTTCTGTGGATCATGGGGACTGAACTCAGGCTGTCATGAACTCGGGCTGTCAAGCTTGTCAGCAAGTGCCTCTGCCTGTTGAACCATCTCATACATCTATTTTGTTTTGTTTTCAAGCAAAGATCACAATGGATCACCTGCCGGGGAAGCTGCTGTGTGCCGGGAGTGTGCTTAGCCATGGATGGTCTTGTTCCCTGCCCCTAAGTTACTTCCTCCAGGGATCTGGATACTTTGTAGACTTGGAGGCTGTCTTTCAGCCAGCAAGCAAGCAGAATGTAGCCATCACTCACCAAGCGCTCACTCTATGCCCTGCACATCTTGCACAATTCTCTCAGCGCTTCTGCAAGGGCGGCATAACACTGCCACCTACGTACTTCCCATGGGCTAGCTCAGACTCGGGCTAAGCAACAACTTTTGCCTCACAAAAAATGTCCTCAGCATGGACCCCAGTCTCTGTTCTTCAGTGGGTTTCTGTGTAACTAACAATGGAGCCCCCTGAAGCCAGACCCGTTTGCCACCGTCTCTTTGGCTGTGTTCGGTCATCTTGCCTTCTTGCCAACGTAATTTCCAAAGTGCAGAGTGATGGGGAAAGTGCACTTGATAGGAATCCCTGGCCAAAGGGGCTGGAGAGCCCAAATTTGAAGTTGCCAGATAGGTGAAACTGAACCAAAAATCCCCTGAAGTTAGTGTATTGATTTATATTCTGAAGCTAACAGAATGACCAGAGGCTAAGCGTGGAGAGTGAATGTCTGGGGCAAGAGAAAGCTCACTGAATACTCAACAGGTGACCCTCCTTC